CTCCTCCTCCTCCTCCTCCTCCTCCTCCTCCTCCTCTTCCTCCTCCTCCTCCCCCCCAAAGGCCGTCGCACCCAGCAGGCGCCCCGCGCCTGCTGGCGCCAGGGGCGCTGGGGGCCCGGCCGTGCCTGCACCGCCGGCTCCGGGCACAGCGCCGAGGCTGGGGTCTCGCCGCTGGGGCCTCGCCGGGGCGGGGGTCGCCGTGCGGGGGCGTGCGCCGGTGGTCCGCGCGCGGAGCTGCGGCCGTGCCGCGGGGCCTCTGTCTTCGGGGGTGTACAGAGCCCCCTAACAGTGTCACGTCGATTAGGGAATGGTCCGTTTTCGGTTCTCGAGAGGGCGCCGTGGCCGTTATGTTCCAGGCCTGCGCCCGCCAGGTTTGGGCCTCAGGTCGTTTTCACTGAACCGCGTTTTGGGGGGTCTGTCCATCCCCGATGTGTGGCTCTGCAGGCTCAAGCTGGGCCTGTCCCTCGACAGGAGGAGTATCCAGAGATAGTCCGAATCTAGTCAGGGGACGAGTTTTTTTTTGTGTCTGTGTGTGTGTGGAGATATGTTTTGACTGTTTTCCACTGTTCTTTTAGAATCCGCCTGTAGGGGGACATGCCCGACCCAACTCTAGGCCTCCTAGATGGGGTCCGAGTAGATGGGGTCGGAGAGTCGCGCCGCATCGCCGAGGCATCGGCGATGCGGCTCTGTGTGGAGCCCGTGCTTCTCCGGGCCCACGGCGCCGATGCATCGCCGACGTCGCCAGTGCATCGCCGATGCATCGCCGATGCATCGGCGATGCATCGGCGATGCGGCGCGATCCTTCGAGCCCATCTACTCGGACCCCATCTGGGAGGCCTCTAGTGGCGGGCGCAGTGGGACGGCGCAGCATCCGAGGCGGGAATTTGTCCACGACCACCGCCTGGGGGGTCGATCCTCGCGGACCTCCACAGGCAGTGGATATATGGATATATTCGGGCCCCCCGTGGGCCCAAACATACCCATGTCCACTGCCCGCCGGGACACCAGGACGTCGGTTCCCAGGCGGTGGAAATGGATACATCCCCGCCTTGCACGGCAGGAGCATGGTGGGAGTTGCTACTGCTTGCCGCAAGGCAGGGATCCGCCGCGCGGCCACTGAAGCACCACCGTCCTTGTGCGATCTCCTGTGGATTCTTGTTTGGGTCTGTCTGCCGGAAGCAGTATGCGTATGACAGCCGCAGAGTCCTGGTCCAGTGTGAGCATCTTTTCTGGCGTTCGACCTTCGTGCCCCTTATTCCCTCTCCCTTTCCCGACTTTCTCCCGCGTTCCCTCTTTATGCCCCTCATTGTCTTTCCCTTCCCGACGCATCGGCAGCATATGTCAGCTCAGCCGCTCACATTCGCTTCATCGGATTCGCAGGTAGGGCATCACACGCTTTCAGTCCCAAGGGCCTGTTGTGCGTCAACTCCAATCAGAGTCTTTGCTGTTTTCCAGGACATGTTTTTCCTTGGACGACGACGGCGACGGAGGTGAGGACACCAACGTAATACTTTCGAAGGTCTATGAGGTCTTTTAGGTCCACCAGGCCTATTGAGGCTGTAAAGCCATGGGGCTACAGGGCTATAGGGCTATGGGGCTAAAGGGCTATAGGGCTATATGGCTAGGTCTATAGGGCTATGGGGGTATAGGGCTACAGGGCCATGGGACTATGGGGTTATGGGGCTATATGACTATAGGGCTATAGGGCTGTAGGGTTATTGGGCTATAGGGCTACAGGGCTATAGGGCTATATGGCTATAGGGCTGTAGGGCCATAGGGCTATAGGGCTGTAGGGCTGTAGAGCTATAGGGCTACAGGGCAGTAGGGCTATCGGGCTATAGGGCTATTGGGCTATGGGGCTATAGGGCCATAGGGCTATAGGGCTATTGGGCTGTAGGGCTATAGGGCTATAGAGCTATAGGGCTATGAGGCTGTAGGGATGTAGGGCTGTATGGCTATAGGAGGGCTGTAGGGCTATGGGGCTTTGGGGCTATGTGACTACAGGGCTCTGGGGCTATAGGGCTACAGGGCTATGGGGTTATAGGGTTATAGGGCTATTGGGCTATAGGACTAAAGGGCTAAAGGGCTATAGGGCTATAGGGCAATAGGGCTGCAGGGCTGTAGAGCTGTAGGGCTATGGGGCTATAGGGCTATTGGGCTGTAGGGCTATATGGCTATAGGGTTATAGGGCTACAGGGCTATAGGGCTATAGGGCTGTATGGCTGTAGGGCTATAGTGCTACGGGGCTATGGGGCTATGGGGCTACCGGGCTATAGGGCTAGAGGGCTATGGGGCTATGGGGCTGTAGGGCTGTAGGGCTATTGGGTTATAGGGCTATGGTGCTGTAGGGCTATATGGCTATTAGGCTGTAGGGCTATAGGGCTATAGGGCTGTAGGGCTGTAGGTCTACAGGGCTATGGGACTATGGGGCTATGGGGCTACAGGGTTATAGGGCTATAGGGCCTGGGGGGGGGCACCTGGGCACCCGGGCGGGTCGCCG